ACATTTACTATCTTTGTACTATGTATCCTTCTTCTTCTCTTTATTTAAAACATTTCTGGCTATTTATTCTGTCAGATGAACCTTATGCCTATCTTAACAATTTCCTTGAAAAAACACGTGTGCTTTTTACTGGAATTGTAATTAAATACATATCTTAATTTGTGAAGAATTAACATCTTTAAAATATTACATTTTTCTATCTAAAAATATGGCATGTCTTCCTATTTGGTTGAAGTTCTACAATGTCTCTTAGTAAACCTTAATGGTTTTTATTACATAAGCCCTGTACATTTCTTATTAGGTTTATACTTAGTTTCTGCTGTCATGAATGGAATATTCTCCCCATTGTATTTTCTAGATAGCTCTCATCTAGTGAAAATAACTATTAATTTTTGTATTTTTTTATTTTTGTATTTAATTTATAACTATCCCCTTACTAAATCACCTTATTAATTCTATTAGTATTTCAGTTGGTTCTCCTGGATTTTATAGATAGGTATTCATATTATTTGCAGAGAAGAACATATTGTTGTCTCATTTTCCTCAAAGGTTAGTAGTTCTTATTTATTTTTCCTGCCTTATTGCATTGTCCAGAACTTCTAGACCCATGAAAATAGTCGTAGTGACAGTGGGAGACCTGGTGAAAATTCAGAGAAAGTTCTGGGGCTGGAGCCAGATTTGACCCATTCCTATCCCTACCATTGTCTCTTGAGACTCTGTTCACTCATTTGCTCATTTGTGAAACATTTTATGATGACTTCTCTGAGCCAGGCCCTGTGCTGGATACTGAGACCAAGGATGGCTTATATAGGAGGCTTCCAGCCCGGAATTTCTCAATATTCATTAATTTATTTGTTTGTTTGAGACAGGGTCTTTCTCTGTCCTCCAGGCTGGAGTGCAGTGGTGCTATCAGAGCTCACTGCAGCCTCAACCTCCTGGACTCCAGCAGTCCTCCCACCCAGCCTCCCAAGTAGCTGGGACTAAGGTGTGCACCACCACACCCAGCTAAATTTTTTGCTTTTGTAGATACATGGTCTCACTTTGTTGCCCAGGCTGGTCTAGAACTCCTGGGCTCAAGTGATCCTCCTTCCTTGGCCTCTTAAAGTGTTGAGATTACAGGCATGAGCCACCATGCCTAGCCAGAATTTCCAGATCTTTTGTGATTTATTCCTCCCTTGTCTCACCCTATCTCTGGGCCTCAGCCACCCGAGCCTTCTGTTCTATTTCCCAACCCAACCTGCAGGAAAAGTGTTCACTGTAGTTCCCATTCCTGCTATGTTCTTGGCACTTAAGGCTCCCATCTGTCTTCTAGTACCACCTGGCTCTGTTAACTAATCCAGGCAGAGTCTGCCATTTCACATACAGAGAGGGAAAGTGGCTTGCTCAAGGTCACACAGGCTCTGTCACGGTCACACAAGCTCATTAGCTGGAGAGCTGGTCTGACAACAAGATTCTTGTTCCTGTGAAGGTGTAAATGGTTAGTTGGACTTTGTATATAACTTATATTTCTTATTGGAAGATTTGCAGGAGCCTAGCTGGGAAGACATATAATGTGCTCTATCCCAGAAGTCATACCTTCACCCGTCTAGAGGTACCTTGAGCATCCCTTGAGCTGCCACTTCATCTGGTTCCTCCTGGTCTTTTTCCAGCCTCAACTTACAAAACCTGTAACTCCCTTTAAGGATTTACCTCTGTTTAGGTGAAGCTCTTTCCAGTTTCTTCCTATCCTCCCCTTACCACTGGATTATAGTTTTTCATCTGCAGTATATCAAAATGTAAAGAGTTCAGGCTCTGGAACCAGACTGCAAGAACCTAAATCCCACTTTCTTTTTTTTTTTTTTAATTTTTATTTTAAGTTTCGGGCCACATGTGCAGGATGTGTGGGTTTGTTACATAGGGAAACGTGTGTCATGGTGGTTTGCTGTACCTATCAACCCATCACCTAGGTATTAAGCACAGCATGCATTAGCTATTTTTCCTAATGCTCTCCCTACCCCTACTCCCCTGCCGCCGAGAGGCCCTAGTGTATGTTGTTCCTTCCCAATGCGTCCATGTGTTCTCATTGTTCAGCTCCCACTTATGAGTGAGAGCAGACAGTATTTGGTTTTCTGTTCCTGCATTAGTTTGCTTAGGATAATGGTTTCTTCATCCATGTCCCAGCAAAGGACATGATTTCATTCCTTTTTATGGCTGCATAGTATTCCATGATGTATATGTACCATATTTTCTTTATCCAGTCTCTATTGTTGATGGGCATTTAGGTTGATTCCATGTCTTTGCTATTGTGAATAATGCTGCAATGAATATACACATGCATGTATCTTTGTAATAGAATGACTAAATCCCACTTTCTAATTGTATGACCTTGGACAGGTGACTTATTCCTGCTGTGCCTTAGCTTTCTCTTCTGTAAAAGGGGGATAGTAATCGTTGCCGCCTTATGGATTTGGAGGATTAAATGAGTTAATATGTGTCCAGGGCTTAGAAGAGCACTCAGTAAATATTAATGTTTATCATCATCACCGGTTTCCCTGGTTTGCCCCTCATGGTCACGAGTGTGTCTGTTCCCCACCATGGCATTCCCTGCCTTCTGTTCATCTTGAGACTTGGCTTGTAGCATCTGTACTTGGAGGTATCATACTCAGGCAGGCATTGCATCTCAAGCACTGTGCTGGCTGCTGAGAATGCAGAGAGAAATCCATCAATAACTAAAATGCCCTGGGAAAGGACCTTGGGCAAGGGAACAAGTCATCATTTTGGATCTCAGTTTCCTTTTTTTATAAGATAACAGAATAGGATACATGAAGGCCCAGTCCTGAAAGCTGGTTAAGCCCAGCTCCTCTATCAGCTACAGATCGAGGTGGGCACAGGCTGGCTGAGAAAGAGCTGCTGTCCTTTTTTGGCCATTGGAATCCTCGGTAGCCCTAGGCCTGGCCTTGTACCATGGACATAAAAGGCATTGAGCTGGGCTTCTGAACAGCCCAGGGTGGGAGGGGATCCAGGAGGAGCAGCTGCAGTGCAAGGTGAATCCCAGAGGTGAGGTTCTGCAGAAGATACGACCTAGAGGGGCCCAGGTGGACAGAGTTGGGGTTCTGGGGACTTTTAGCCTTGGGTAGCTGGGGGGAGGGGGAGTGTGGGAGAAGCACCCAGGTCTCCCATTTGCAAATGGGGCTTTGAAATCAGACCTAGCCTGGGGACGAACTCAGCCTTTGTCTCTTCCCTGCCAGGGAACGCCAGCCCAGGCTGGGATTTGGCTTCTCTGAACCCGCCTTTGTCCTTCCTTGGAACAAATGGGTGCTATGAGGACTAAAGGAGTTGGTGCACAGAGTGGGGCTAGCTCAGTGTCTGTGCATAGTAGGTGAGCAGCAAAAGCTCATTCCTTTCCCTCCTAGAGGCACTTTCTAGTTCAGGATGCAGTGATATCTGGTGGAGGGTGACCGAGTCAGGATTTGGAACATCTGAGTTCTAACGAAGAAAAGAACCAAGTGGGGATTAATTAAAGTTGCCCAAACCACCCCTCCCATGTGTCACGGTCATTATCCCACTGGCTCCTTGCCTGGAAACCTGGGAAGCTGGCGTGTGTTTGTGTGTTTGGGTGCGCGCGTGCATGCGTGTGCGTGCGCGCGCGTGTGTGGTCCCCATTTTAAAGGTGAGGGAGCTGAGGCTCGGGAAGGTGCAGTGACTTGCCTGAGGTCCCACTGTGAGTCTGGCAGGTCCAGGACTTCTGACTCTGGGCCCAGCTGAGGCAGGGAGGGGAGAGGGCTCAAGGTGGGATAGGAATGGGGACAAAGATTAGGACCTCTTAGAAGGTGACACAGGGTGGACCAACTTTCCACAGGGCTGTTTCCTGAGTCATCTGATCAGGTTTGGCCAAAGGAGAGGAGCCGCAGCCAGGAGCACCCCGTGAGAGACGCGGCTGGTGAATCTGTGGGCCCTTTTCCTGAGCCCCATGCTCTCCGGAGCCAGGATCTGTGTGACAGGGACTGTCCCTACGCTAGGAACAAAGAGTGCTTGCCTCTGACTGGGGACTCACTGCTTGTCAGTTTCTCGTCAAGTTACTGCCTATTCTAACCCAGTCGGAGCCAGGGCATCCCGGAATGCAGGTCTGGGAGTCACCAATCAGGGTTATAATCTCAGCTCTGCCAATGCCTCATCTTGAGGCCCTAGACAGTCCCTTTCCTTCTCCTGGCCTTAGTTTTCCCAAATATATTATGGGAGGAATAATGCTTCCCTTGCCTCACTAGACTGTAGGAATCTAGTGAGGTGAGGGATACTGTCAACTGCGAAGGGCCGTACACACGTGTAAGTGGCTGTTCGTGCATTGAACCTCATGTAGAAATCAATGAGATGGATATCAACATTCTGGAAAATCAAAAAGTATTGACATGCCTCTTGGACATGTCTCTCAGAAACCCCTGAGAGCCCCAGGGGAGCAAGCCAGGAGACAGTCCTGGCCATGTGCACAGGCAAAGAGAGACTGGTCACCTGGAGGATGGGCACAGAGCTCTATAAGTAGGATGTGGAGGACACATTCCAGCTGTGAACTGAAGAATGTTTGTGGTTTGGCTAATGATGGTTGGAGAAAGGGTTTCTAGGTGCAGGTGACTGCCTGAGCAACAGCCTGGTGGCAGGACAGTGTGGGACATGGCTGGGGAGTGGGCTGTGGTTTGAGGATAGAGCAGAGGGACCCTGTCTGTGGGTTTGGCTGCTGAAAGGAGAGCAGAGTCAAGATAGGGTGCCTGGGACGGGTTGGATTACAGAAGACTTGGGATAGCAGAAGGAGGAATTTGGACTTTGTCACCCTGCAGTCAGGGGGAGCTATGGAAGGTGTTAGAGCAGGGGAGTAGTGGAATTGGAGAAGACCCTCTGGAGGTGTGTGAGTGGGAGGATGGATGGGAAGGCATTGAAGCAAGGGAGCAGGGCTTTGAGCAGAGTTTGTGGGGAGACAGACATCCTCTCTAGATGACTTGGTGGCCAAAGTGGAATTGTTTTTGTTTCAGGGACAGAAAGGGGACCCAGGGCTCTCACCAGGAAAGGCCCACGATGGGGCAAAGGTAGGTTTCCAGGGACCCCAGTTCTCAGGGAAGAGGGGAGCGGACAATAGTGAAATCACCACACTCTGCGGCTAGCCGTCCTGGCGGAGGCCATGCATGGCAGAGGCAGTGAGGTGGGAACATCTAGAACGGTCAGGGTGTGGTGTGGTTTTTTCCTTGAAGCCCTTTAGCCTCTCTCAATACCAAACCCACCCAAGGTTATTCCCAGCCACCTTCTTTCCAAAGTGCAGCCAACACAACTGACAAAAGGTTTCTCCTATGGACACACTCTTGGTGAATGTCCTTTTGCCTAATGTCCTGCATGGCTTTCTGCAGGGCCTGCTAGGTGACTGTGGGCATCTAGAAGTTTCTTGGTAGCACGTGGCCAGGAAGCTTCCCATAGACACTCAAAGCCTTTCCTGAGGTTAACTCCAGCAGACGGGTGTGTGGATTTCTAGGAGGCTGGAGATTCAGGGCTCCCTACCTCTGAAGGGCTATGAAACCAGGTTTGCCTGCAGAAGGTAAAACACTTTGGCTAAAGGCTTTCATCCATCTCTGTAGCATCCACCCCATAAACTGAGCAAGGGACTTGGAGAGAGTACAGGACAGATGGGAAGAGGGGAGCCCAGAACTCCACATGAGATTGTCCAATGTGTCAGTCTTCCAGGCACAGACACCCTGCAAGCAATGCCCAGGTCTGCCTGGCTTCCTTCTGGACACAGCCCTAGAGCCATCCCAATGGATTGAACACCGCTTCTCAGCCCAGCCTCCTGTGCTTAAAGGCACCTAGAATTGGCTGCTTTCTTTGATTTCCCCAAGACACGGGTGGCTTATTGCTTCACATCCTCACTGCTAGGTGTTTGCCCTTAGCACGTATTTACTGGGTGACCCAGGGTCCCAGGAGAGTGTTCCCATATACCACCACTTGACCCCCATCAGAACCCCATGAGCCAGGGCAGATGGGCCCAGCTTACAGATGAGAAAACGGAGGCCCAGGCAGGGGTGGCTTGCTGGAGGTCATGCAGCTGGTAAGTGGCAAAATGAGATCGGCACCCGGGAGCCCAGGCTTCTCTCCTGCTCCTGCGTGGCCTGTTCTCAGGTCTTGGGGTGGTGGCAGAAATGTCCCCCTGCTTGGCCAGCGGCATGCCCAGCAATGGGAAGGTGTCTCAGGACTGCAGGGAGAGATGACTGATTGATATGGGACCGATAAGGCACATGTCCTCTGGAACAGTTTTCAAACATGGTTTTAGTATCGGAACCCGTTCTTCAAGTGGTGTCTTCTGCTGAAGCCCAGTATATAAAATAGATCAGACGGAGCGGCTGAGTTGAGTGGGAGAGGGCGGGGTACACCACCCACTCTTCTTGCTGGGCAGCACCCGAGTCTCCTCTGAGGCCTCTAGTACTCCATGAATCTCATTTGGAAATAACCAGCCATTGGAAGTTACAATTCCAGTTTTGTAGTGTAGCAGCGTGTCTCTGCTCCCGTGTTCCTGCCTCACCCGCCTTGTCTGTGTCTTGCAGGGTGACATGGGCTTGCCTGGGCTGTCCGGGAATCCAGGACCTCCGGGACGAAAGGTACTGTTTGGTTTTGACGCTTTGCCTTGTGCAGTGGGCCTCCTAGCAAGCCAGGTTTCAGGCAGGAGAGCTGTGGGCCCACCTGCCTCTCCCCAGCCCCAGCCCAGCTCCCCTGGGCACAGGGCACATGGGAGAGAGCTTTTCAAGGGCTGTGCCTGTTGGGGGCAGGGAAGCCCTTGGCTTGCAGTAGGTGCCTCCCACCGTGGTTAATGAGGTAGCATAAGAAGTATCCTTGGTTTGCTGTACTTCCTTTTGGGGGCCAAGCTGCTCCCAGGGAGGCCACCTTCAAGAAAGCTTGTGGTGATGGAGTACCCTGTGCTGGCCCTGGCTCCACCGCCCACTGGCTGAGTTGCCTTGGGCCTGCAAGTCCTGTCTCTGCCCCTCAGCCTTCTCCTACATGAGATGGAGACAATGATCCCCATCTCTGACCCTGCACAGTCTGGGGCTGTGTGACCAGGAGCAAGGCCTGGAGCAGAGAAATTGAGGGAGTGGACCCTGTGGTCAGTTGGACCTGGGTTCTATTCCCCCTTCTGCCGTTTCCTGGTTGGGTGACCTTGGGCAAGTCAATGAGCTCTCAGAGTCTACTATGTGGCCGTCGCTGATGCCCTGCAGGGGAAGGGGAATGATGTGGAGAGGCAGTGGGTTCTCTGTACCTTCCTGGCTGTTGTTATGTCACCCGCATCCCATCCCCATTTCAGCCATGCTGGGGAGTTACCTGTCCAAACACCTGTGTGGGGAAAAGACTGGCATTTCCTAGGTAGTGGGTCTGTAGCTTACAGTCCCCCTGGATTTCTGTGACTCCTCCAGCCTGTGTCTCCCTTCCTTCAAGACTCTACTCTAGTTGTGCCTACTCTTGGGAGTCCTCCTGGAGCACTCAGCTTCAGGCCAGGAGGATCCTCTCTGCTCAAGGACACTTAAGCTGTCTTGGCTTAGTTATTTTGAGCTACGAGGTGTGCCTCACCAACCAGGGTGTGCAAATCTGGTTTGTTGCTCTTCCTACTGAACCTAGCATGAAGCCTGTGCATAGCAGGTATTCAGGAAATGGGGGGAAGGCAATGCAGGTTAAGGATCAATTGCTTTTTCCAAGAAAATCCCCAACTGCTGATGGATTATCTGGTGAATGCATCGGCCTACCACTGTTTCTTAAGCTTCTGCCCTGGCTCCCGGCTGTGGCCACAGCTGAACTCTCTCTAGGCCATCTGGCTCTCATCTGGACAGCTGGGGTGTCTCCCAGCTCCACCCAGTTCTTGCCTTGAGAGCCCCATGACACAGGGGTCCTTGCAGGATCTTGTTCCCTCATTCCCTTCCCCATGGCCAGAGCAGGCCATACCTCCAACCTGAGAGGCCTGCCCTGGAAGCAGTGGCTGTTTGTGAGCTGGGAAATACGGTCTTTTCTGGCTCAGAGAACACAGAGGGACTCACACTCCCCACTTCCTTCCCCTCTGGGCTCTAGCGCTTTCTGATGGATGAGGTGTGAGTGGAAAAGGCTCTTTCCGGTCCCAGCTCATAAAGCAGTCTCTGGTGGTCTTGTTCTGCATGGGGGTGGCAGCCTAGCAGAGGTGACAGGAGATAGGGAAACCAGACTGGAACCAGCTCCTGCCCGGGGTGCCAGGGCTCCTTGCATTAAGCAGATGTCCAGGGGGCCAAGGACCCCCAACCAAGAGGAAGCAGCTCACCTGAGCAGGGAGAGGCAGCTTCTCTAAGTTAACGAAGAGCCACTGTGCAGCTGGAAAACTATTTGGCAAAGCCAGTTGCTCTGAGTTCCCCTCTGGCCCTGGCCTAGACACGCACAGTAGAGTTCGGTGTGTGGCAGGCTGGCGTCACCCACTCACAGAGGGTGCTGGGTGAAGCGTCGGGGAGCTCAGGTCCCAAGGCAGAGACCCCTGACCAGTGGCGGAGATCAGAGAAGAGAACTACTGCCATGGGCAATGTGCCTGGGGCCACCATTGTAGGTGGTCTCTCGTATCACCCACGTCTTTGGTGACAACAGCAGCCACTTGGCTCTGATCCTGTAGTGTGGCTTTTCTGCGTTATTTCTTGTGGGAAGCCTTGAGGGGAGAAGGGAGGTGAGTGGATAAGAGGTGAGGTCAGCTTCCTCTTCGTGATCACCAGCACATTGAATTTTTGTGTCATTCTGAGGCAACATGGATAATCCCATGTATTCATTTATTTAACAAGAATTATTGAATGCCTGTAATGTGCCAGCCACTGAGCTGAATGGACAAAAATTCCTGGGACCTGCATTCTGGTTGGGGGTGGGGAGACAGATAATACAAAGAAAAACAGTAAAAATAAAAGGTACACTATAAGACAGAAAGGACTATGGAGAAAAATCAGCAAGAGAAAGGGAGTTTTGGTTGGAGACTGCAGTCTACAGCAGTGGCTCCCAGCTAGGGAGCTCAGGCCCCATCGCGGTGATTCTAGCTCAGTTGGTCTGAGTGGGACTCATCATCAGTAGCTCTAAAAGGCCTCCAGGTGGTTCCCACTTGCAGCCAAGAATGAGAGGCACCAATTTAATGGAAATACCTTCCATGGGTTTCTAAGCTGCAGGGCTAGGATTTGAACCCAGGTCTTCTGACCCTTAGGCCCTTTCTGTCACCACAAGGCTGACTGAAACAGTTTCTCAGACAAGACAGTGTCCATCCAGTTAAAAAGAGCCTGCCTGCCTGAGAAGGTTTGTTTCTCTGCCACTGCCTGAGATGCTTGTGGAAGGACTTTGCTGGGCCAGTTCCCAAGGTGAGGAAGACACGCAAACCAGGTTAGATAGACCTGGGTGGAATCCCTGCTCTGTCGCTCTCCTGCTGTGTGAGCTTGGGCAAGTCGCCTCAGCTTGCTGGGCCTCAGCTGCATCATGAGGTGGTTGGGAGGATTAAATGAGATGTAATATCCCTGCACTCAGCACAGGGCTGGTACACGGCAGGCACTTTGTATGCATTTATGCAATGAATGAATAGTGATCATGATCATGAAGAGAAGCATCTGAAGAAGGTCTTGCCCATCTGGTAGTGCTAGTCATTTTGCTAGTTTCCAGCTAACCGCCCTCCGCTAGCCAAGAAGGCTGCCAGAACTCCATTTGCACCTCCCATGCTCTCTCTCATCTAACTCTCTTGCCTTCTTTCCTAGAGACCAGTAATTATCAACATGGGGTGATTTTTCCCCCCTGGGGAACAGTTGGCAATGTCTGGAGAGATTTTTGGCCATTACATACAACTGGGAGGGAGGTGCTACTAGCTTCTGATGAGTAGAAGCCAGAGATACTGCTAAAAATCCTGCAATGCACAAGATAGCCCTTCCCTCCCATACACATACAAGATGTGTCCAGCCCACATAGTCAAGGTTGAGAAACCTTGCTGTATAGAAACCCTGGCCCTATCCAATCCCATGTACCCTGGGCCTTCCTGCCTCCCTGCCCCCTGCTGTGTAGAAACCCTAGCCCCATCCAATCCCGTGTACCCTGGGCCTTCCTGCCTCCCTGTGTTTGCTTCTGCTGTGCCCTCCCCAGGCATGCGCTCTCCTCCACACTTATCCTAATGTGGCTGCCCCTTGGCTCTGTTCTTAGAGAATAGCATCTTCTCCAAGAGCACTCCCCAGCACCTCCAGGCAGAAGTCACCCCTCCCTTCTCTGACCATTTGGCCTCCCTTCTCAGCCTCTTTGGGCTAGTGGGCAACCCACTAGTGTCGACACATTGCTTAGACTGGACAGAGGACAGAACCCAACCCGTTCATCTTTGTTTCCCCACTGGGGCTTAGTGCAGTGCTGACCACATTCACCTCCCTCGCTCCTCACCTCTGGCAAGCATCACAAATTGATCCTTCTGGCCAAGCCCTGAGACAGCCCCTGAATCTTTCTTACCATACTGCCCCAGATAGACATGATGCATGGAACAAAACTGCTACTCAAATCAAAACCTGACTTGCTTCTCTCCAGCCTGATTTCCCCTCAGTTCCCTCCTGTTGCCCCCACCCTGCCCCCAGCAGGAATGCTGCCTGAGTTGGCCATTATCTGTGGGAAGCTGTAATAAAACGGGAGAGCACAGCGGTCATCTGGAAGTGTGTCTGGGGAAATGTGATTGAGGCCGCCTGAGATGATCTCCAGCCTTTCTGTGAACTCCCGATTCTGCCTGAGTGTGGTACCCCCAATTCCATATAGTTCCCCCCGAGAAACTTCTCCAGGCTCCCCTGCTTCTACAGCCCATACCCACTGGCATCCCTCCTATCCCATCCTGTGTCTCCTGTCCAAGCCCTGCTCCTCCCCCAAGCCTCAGTTTATAATGCCGCCTCCTGTGGCTGGGTGCATCTATATTCTTCTAGCATTCTCCTTCATTGCACTTAAAATGCATTTAATGCCCACATCCCCTTCTAGAAGGTGGAGAGTTTTTTCTGTTCATTGGTGTATCTCTAGTGCCTAACACAGGGTCTTGGTCATTGCTGGGGTTCAGCAGACATTTGTTTGATGAAGGAACAACTGGATAAATGAATAAACCATACAGAAAATATACCTTCTTGCCTGGAGCGGTCTCAGGTATCCACGGAGCAGAGTTTGGTGTCAGACACCTGACTGTGTCATGTTGGACTATGCTTTTAGACTAGCCACAGACTTTGGAATCCTACAGTTTCTGAGCCCACAGGACACTTGGAGAGGCCAGCTGGGGAAACTGAGGCCCAGAGAGGCACCTTGTCCAGCATCACATAATAAGACCTTCTAATCTAGTCATGTGTTTCTCACTCTTTGATTCTTTCTGTCCTGCTGATGGCCCAGTCTGGGGTGTGGGCTGCCCAGGAGGTAGGGAAGTTCAGCAGAGATTCACAGAGAGCTAAGCAAGCTTGGTGAGTTTCAGCTCAATTACAACGGGAGCTGAGGCCTTGCTCAGGCCAAGGTGGAGCCTGGGTGGACAGCTGATGTCTGAGTACATATTGGTCCCTAGGACCCCCAGGCAAGGACAGGACCCCTCCCCTCCCTGCCCAAAGCCCAGAAAGCAGCCCAGCCAGACGGGGAGACGGTCTGTAGCAACAGTGAGGTGATGTCTGGTTTCTCCTTGCGCATTGTAAGCAATGATTAATCTGGCTCCCAAACCAAAATATAGACCGAGTTCTATTATAAACACAGGTCCTGTGGAGACCCGCCTGCTGGGCAGCCAGAGGCCCCTTGCAGACACCACGGTCCCTGGAGCTCCCCGAAACATTCCCTCTCCCTTAGTGCCAGTCAGGCACCGATCACAAACTGGAAAGTCACTGCCCACGGGCCTACCTTGCGGTCAGCACCCGCCCCATAATTGGTGGGGCACAGCACAAGATAATGGTTTAGATTCTTGCAGGTCTGGGGCCCTGTCATTTGGAGCTATTTGCCGGCCCCAGCTTGGTAAACATTGTTAAGATGCTTCCAGGGAGCATAAGCACCTCCTGCCTCCTACCTCCCACCTTGGCTATGCTCGCTCTGCTGCTCCTGGCCATCCAGGAGAAACTGGGGTGTTCATGGCAATGTTCAAGGCCCTTCAGGGTCCCTTGATCAAGAGATACCTAGAAATTGCATATCCCAGTGGGTCTGGAGTCCGGGGAAAAGTATTGGCTTGGCCATAACTTGCTAGGTAACTTTGGACAAGTCCCTTCCCCTTTCTGAGCTTCAGTTTCTCAGTCTGTCCAATGAAAAAGGAGATTGCCAAACTAATGGTTTAGGTCCCTTTCAACTCAGTTATTGCAGGGTTTCATGACCGACCTCTGCCTGAATAATGCTGCAATGATGTGAAACTTTCATTCCAGGGAGGGCATCTATAAGGGGATCTCTCCTTGAGTGGCTTTGTGGCTCTTCTAGGCAGGCCTTAGGCCTCAGTGAGCGTGTCTCATCCCATGCTTTTTGATGGCTAAGGATGTGGGATTGGAGTCACAGGCCTGGCGCTGCCCCTAGAAAGCTGTGTGGCCTCAGCGAAGTCTCTTTACTTCTCTGAACATCAGTTTCCTCAACTGGCAAATGTGTATGGTAATTTCTGCCTTCTAGGGGTGATAGCAAGGAGTCCGTGAACTGAAATATGAAGGCTTCAGTGCTGAGCCAGGTATAGGGCCTGCCACCGTGCCTGCCGGTGATGATCATTCACTTCCATTTAGCTGCAGCCTGAGTAAGAGGGTTTACTGGAAATCTTCTCCTGGGATTTCACTGGAGAAATGCCTCTGCTTCCTTTGTGGGGAGGTATGGGTGCTGAAGAATTGGTTTTCAGCAGGGTTCTTGTGACTGCAGATGAAGCCACAGGAGCTGGTGATGGCCAAGGGCCCCCTGGACCCCACATTATGGTTCTCTTGGGTTTCTTGTCCTGTTACTCCATTGGATCTTTGCAGGTAGGTAGAATATGACAGAGTGAGCTTCAGAGAGGATAATTACCCATACAGAGTCACACAACCAAGAGTGCAAGGCTCCATTCAGCTCTTCACTGGGAAAAGGTTTCACTTGTTCTTCCTCATCTGCAAGCTCCAGGCGGAAAAATGATGATCATGGCTGTTAGTTACATCTTGTCGCGGTACCTCCCTGCTCAAAGCGCTTCTGTGGTTTTGCATCACATCACCACCAGCATGCTCTGGCCTCCTGCTTCTCCAACCACCCCCATCCTTCACCCTCTCGCCCATTCTATTCCAGTCATACAGGCCTTCCTGTGTTCCCTCCAAGCCACTCAAGGGCGTTCTTGCCTCAGGCCCTTTGCACTTGCTGTTCCCTCTGCCTGCACTGCCTTTGTCCATGGAGCCGGCCCTGTGTTCATCCCGTTCATCTCCTTAGAGCAGCCTTCCTTGATTCCATCCTCTATTCACCGTCCCTCCCCAGTGCTGCATTCTCTGTCCATAACTTTACTTCCTTTTCTTCACAGCACTGATCACTACTAGACATTTTCTCCCTGTTTCTGAAAGGATTTTATTTTAATTGTGGTTAAAAAGCATATAACGTAAAATTACCATCTTAACCATTTTTAAGTGTCCAGTTCGATAGCATTAGGTACATTGTTGTGCAATCAATATCTAGAAATGTTTCATCTTGCAAAACTGAAACTGTACCCACTGAGCAACTCCCCATTCCTCTCTCCTCGCAGCTCAGATGTTATTTTTATGTTCACTTTGTTTTTTACCTCCTTAATTAGAATGTAAACTCCTTTAGGGCAAAGAATGTTGTCTGTCTCATTCTTCCTGTGCCTAGAACGGGGCTACAGCATGAAAACTCAGTAAATGTTTATCGAATGAATGAAAAATGAAGATTATAACAGCAGCTAACCTTTACAGCACCCTTGAATCCAATGCCAAATACTGCGCTTTACACACTTTCTATCCTGCCATCCTTGCTCCAACTTTGTAGCCCCATTTTATAATTGAGGAAAACAAGATTCTCGGAGGTGAAGTCATTGGCTTTGGGTCACCCAGACAGCCAGTTAGTAGAGCAGCACTGGAATCCAGATGGGTCTGAAACAAGAGGTTGTATGCCCCGGTTTGCCCACTGGGGAAAAGAGTACACGCCCCAGCTAGAAGAATCTCACCCAACCTTGTTGCATCAATCTCCATAGGCCCCTGGATCTGAGATGCAATCATGTCACTGAGGGCTCTTGAGACATGAATAGGTGCAGAAAGAATGCTTGTAAACTCTCCAGACCTCTTAGATCAAACTGACTCTGCTGTTTATAATGAAGAGTCCCCACCTCCTGGGGGCTGATGGGGGGTGTTGAGTGCGTATGCCTGTGTGTGTTTGTGCGTGTGCATGGAGCTGCATATGTCTGGGGATGTTTGCAAGGTTCCCAGTGTGGCTCCAGATGTCAGAAGGATCTGGTAATGAGTGCCTGTGGCTTGTTAGCAATGGGACTCAGGGCAGGCATCTTCAGTTCTGTGAGACTCAGTGTTCTCCTCTGTGAAATGGAGATGACAGTCGCCTCTCCACCCCAGCTCATCTGACTGTTGGAAGGAGTAGATGAAGTCATCTGTTATGCATGCAGTCCTGGGTAAATGGCAGCGCATAGAGAGGGTCTACAGGTTTGAGCGTGCATGCGGGCGTGTGTGTGTTCTAGTCTGGTGTGTGTATTTTAGACTCTGGAGGAGTCTTCAAACTCTAGGGTTCTAAAACATCAGAGCTGAAGGGGACTCAGAGTTCTAACTCCCTAATCTGAAGTTCAGAGAAGGGTAGTAACCCACCCAAAGTTGCACAGTAAGTTAGGGACAGCATCTAAACCAATCCCAGAGCTCCCTGCATAAAAGGGTCTAACATGGATAAGTGTGGCTAACCTGTGTACAGTGGAAGCCTCCCCAGCTGATGGAAACTTGAAGTGTGAGGTTTCCTTTGGAAACCTCCTTACTTTTATGAAATGGCTCAGGTGATTATACCTCGTGCCACCTGAAAGCACACACTCAGCTTGGTTCTCTCCACCCACCCAGAGGCCTGGCCTAGACATGCCTTACACCATGGTCTTTGGGCCATCAGGACAGAGGGTCAAAGTTGGTACTGGGGCGTTGCCAGAGTCCTTCTCATTAGTATCTGGGAGGCCTATTCCTCCCTGGAATAGGAGCTGGGGCCAGTGGGAGAAGGGAAACAGCTATTTGGGTTAATATATGTGGTCAAGGCCTGTGATGGGGGCTTTATGAGAAGGGGCAGGTCCTGACAGGGGAGGGAATCCCAGCATCACGTGCGATGTGGTTGCTCAGCACGTTCCAGACCTCGAGTCCTACTCAGTCTACTCCTCCACTGACAAATCCTAGCCCTGAGAGATGGTCTCACCTTATCTCTGGATTCAGAAGGAATGGTTGCGATACACCGTCTCTTGGTCACAGTTGCTCTGTTCCAGTTCGTCTCACCACCTCTGCCAGAGCAGTGAATGACCCCCATGATGTCCTCTGCCTAAGAGCCACTGGGAGCAGAGAGAAAACCTTGAGAATATGCGAACCGTCACATGGTATCTGCATCCATCTGGGGAGCGCTTACTGAGCACACACTCCATCCTGGACGCAGTACATACGGTGCTGAGCAGAGCAGGCCGGGAGGCCGGGCCCTTGCAATTTCCAGGCCCAGATGTGTCCTCCCTGCCTGATGTAGCTTCTTCCCCCTACAGGGACACAAGGGCTATCCTGGACCGGCAGGGCACCCCGGAGAACAGGTGAGGGCCTCAGCCTCAGCCCTGCCCTGGTCGCTGTCCCTCCTCCCAGCCCCTACCTGTCTCTGGCCCCCTCCCTAGATCCTGCTCTGTGAGCCAGCCTAGAGCCAGGCTGTTCTGCCTCTCACCCTGCTGGGGCCTCCAGCCCACTCCAGCCCACCCCACCCCTCTCGCCCAGCCACATTTGCCCAAAAGAGCCAGAGTCCATGCCGGCCTGATGTTGGCATGAGCCGCGCAACGCCAGTTGGAGCCATGAATAGCTGGCCTGTTCCGGGCGATGTTAGGGGATATTATACACGCCACCACGGGGTTTGCAGGAATTTTGGCTGGCCTGGCCCAAGTCAAACAGCAGCCCTGCCAGCATGGGAGAACCAGCCAGGCCTCCTCAGTGATTTCTTATTCCTGGGCTGCAAGCAGAGGGGGTTTTGTCCCTCAGAGCTGGTCTGACCGGTTTCACAGAGGGGTGGGCTTGGGGGCCCTACCCTTCCTCCTGTTCCCTCTCACGTTCCTGCCCCTCTCTTTGTTCATTGCCAGCCCCAGTCTCCTAGGGTCCCCAGACCCAGAGCCGGGCAGGGTCTTTCCTTTCCTTATGTTTCTCTCTGTTCCTTTGCAGGGGCAGCCAGGACCTGAGGGCAGCCCAGGGGCCAAAGGTTACCCTGGCAGGCAGGTGCAGTATATGGCTTCTGGAAGCTCTGTGGCCATGGTGATGTGGAGATGGCCACAGGTGCCCCGAGGCAGAGGGAGGTGGTGGGCTGGGGGCCAAGGAGCTGCACCTGCTGGGTGGACCCTAAGGAGGGGACTTTCCAGGGGGCTGGACCAAGGAAGCCTGTCTTTGCAGGCACAGGCTAAGGCTGCATAGTAAGAGGAGGTCTGATTCTGTGGGGCTGGGGCTCCAGAGGCTCCTCCCACTCAGTATCCCTCCTACCCACCAGCCACCTCCCTGGGATCCTGGGGATGTGGGGGTCAGGCCAAAGACTGCTAATCTAACCCCACCCCCATTCTACAAAGAGAGCAGCAGAGGCCCCAGAGAGGAAGGACTCACCCCAGGATTGGCAGCAGGTAGAGCGTCTCCATATGTCCTTGCCCCTCTGTGTTTTGTGTTTCAGGGGTTACCTGGACCGGTAGGAGATCCCGGCCCCAAAGGCAGCAGGGTAAGTGGTTCCTGGCCAGTGCCACATGGGTGGGGTTCTAGGTGAGCATCACCTGTCCCGCCAGTGGGCTTGATGGGAGGTCAGAACTATAAGGAGAGCCAAGGCCCTCCCACCTGAGCGCTCCCGGACAACAGAGGGGCAGCAGGAGGGCTGGGTGATGGGAGACCCTTGAGCCAGGTAAGCTGCTTGGTCCCCATGGCCAAGAAGTCTGGGCAGCAAAGACTGTGCTGGGGTTTGGCCACAGTCCAGCTACAAACAACTAGGCATTTGTTTGCTGTGTCTCCTGGCTCATCCCCAAGTTACAAGAGAGCCAGTATGGGCCACTTGAATTGCTTGTCGTCGAATCTTCAGAGACCTCCCTCCTGCTCCCAACTGAGGGCTGGGGGGATCCACTCTTCTTGGAGGGCACCCGGTGTGTGAATGCTACCTACGCCTGCAGCCTGGTGGAGCTTCCAGATCTCCCCTTTCTTCAAGGCCCCCATGGAGCAGACCCTGAGTAGCGATCAGCCTCAGTTTGCCTACCTTTACCATGGTCATGATGTCCATCTGTACCTGTAGCCTGGTTATGTCAAGCTGACTTGACAGCTCAGGAGGGGACCAACAGGTGGGGACTCCCATGTGGGTTGTGGGAAGACAGAGAAGGTTCTGGGTGGACTGAATGGGGTAAATGGAGTTGGAAAGATTTAGAGCTGGTGTGATGGAATCCTCTCTTCTACATACAAAGAAACTGGGTTCATGGCGGGGCCTGGATAGCCCCAGCTTACACTGCATGCCTAAGGTGGATCTGGGATGAGGACCCAGGTGTTCTGAGGCCTGGACCTGCTGCCTCTCAAGGAATGCTCAGGAATGGGGTCACACAGTCCTTGGTCAGGACAGATCATGTATCCTTTGCTCCTGAGCCAAAGCTATTTATATTTTGGCAGGAGGGAGAGGACAGAATGGTTGCAGTCTCAGCCCTAATCCCTGCAGCAGACTGGTGGCTGTTAGGAGAGCATGGGGAGGCGGGAGTGGGGGCTGGTAGGTGCATTCCCCAGGAGGCTACTGTGATAGGCAGGGCCTGAGGAGGCTCTTGTCCCAGGATGCTGGACCTCTTCCTTTATTCTGCTGCTCCCATGGGCTGTGCCCCCAGAGGGACCCCCTAAACCCAGGGAGAAAGGTCTTCTCAGTCCAGCCCCAGTCCTGATCTCCTGATCTGCCAGAAGGACAGGGCATGTTAATGACATCTGGCATTGCTCGACTTGCCTGCCAGGCCGGTGGCATCTCAAAGCCACATAGGAGGAGAGGACTGGTCTGGCCCCAGCACTCCTGTCTCTTACAGGCTGCACAGCCCTGGATGGGCAGCCTGGGTGAGCAGTGAGTCACTCAAGCTGTCCTTCCAACCCTGCCACCACCAGCCTCATATTTCTGAAGTAGGCAGAGGGCAGGCTTTGGAATCGGGATGACAGGCTTTGAGACCTGCCTTGCCCTCAGCTAGCTGTGGGACCTTGGGCAAGTCACTGGGCCTCTCTGAGCCAATGATTTTCTCACCTGTAAATCTGGGAGATAAGCCCTATTTGGAATGGTAGCAAATGGCACTCTTTCAGATTATGGATATTAATCATGCTGGATGCCAACAAGGAGGCTCAGTGGCCTCTTGGCCTTCCAGCGAAGGAGAGATGGTTGTGAGCCTCTGGGTTGCTTGTTTGAGGGAAGGCAGTATGCAGAGTGGTTAGGAGCCCAGGCCCAGGAGTCAGAAGACTTGAATTTGAATACCAGTTCTACCACATTTCAGCTGTGTGGTCCTAGGCAAGTTACTTCACCTCTCTGGGCCTAAATGGTCTTACCTCTACAGGGGGCCGAGTAATAATACTTCCTCGTGGCTGGGCGCGGTGGCTCACGCCTGTAATCCCAGCACTGTGGGAGGCCAAGGTGGGTGGATCACCTGAGGCCAGGAGTTCGAGACCAGCCTGGTCAACATGGTGAAACCCCATCTCTACAAAAGTAAATAGTAGGTGCACACCTGTGATCAGCTATTCAGGAGGCTGAGGCAGGAGAATCGCTTGAACCTGGTAAGCAGAGGTCGCAGTGAGCCAAGATTGCACCACTGCACTCCAGCCTGGACGACAGAGTGAGACTCCGTCTCTCTCTCTCTATATAATTAATAAAACATAGCACTTCCTCGGGGATGGAATAAATGCTTTAATATATGCAAAGCACTGACAGCAGGCCTGGCCTGTCATTCATGCTCAATAAACATTAGCTTTGGTTAGAGTTATTATTAAATCATTGCACAAAGAGTGGCATGCAGATAGTGGCAGAAGCCCCGGGCGAGGTCGCTGCCCTTAAGAAGTTCCCAGACTAATGAGGACATGAAGCGTGAACACAAATAATGAAGATACAAGGGAGAAAGTGGAGAAGGATGCTACCGAGGTGCAAAAATGGCATTGGGGTGGAGGGTAGAGATTGCTTCTAGCTTGGGGTATCAGGGATGCTTGCCCAAGGAGAGCTCATGAGAGCTGGGCTTTGAAGGATTTGGCTCAGAAGTCATGAGGGATGGAAGGGACATGCCTGGTGGAGGGGACACAGTGAGGAAAGGCTGGGAGGGAGGAGATGAGACTCACCCTAGGGAAGAACCCCAGAATGGTGATGAGCCCCGGCTGCGGAGTCAGCTGGACTTAGGTGACCCTTGAGCTGATTAGGAATTCCTTGAAGAGAATTCACAGCTCCACCACTGACTAGTCATGTTGCTTTATCTACAAAGCCTCAGTTTCCTTATCTGTCCAGTATGGGTGATGACAATCTGGGGGTCCTTGTGAGAGTCTAAAGTGGTAGCATGCGTGTGCCTGGCACAATGTTGGCACTCCGGGTTCGTAGCCGCTGTTAGTTAATGCCATCACTCAGGCGGCCAGGGGTGAATGTAAGTCCTACATCCAGGACCTTGAAGGCTTAGGAGGAGCCGTGGCAGGAGCCACGGGCACCTGCCAGCATCCCTGGGGGTGGGGAGGGCTTGGTGCCATGCTAGCATCTAACCCAGCCGCGAGCTTCCTTCTGCAGGTCCTGGAGCCCTGGCGCGGGGCGGGCCTCCTGTCGGCGAGCGCCCGCGCCCTTCCCTGGCGTGAGGGTATGTGCCTTTGGACTACATCGTGGAAGCCAGCACCATGCAGTCCATGGGCATATACACTTGCCTCAAGGCCTATGTCATCGAGGAGCCACCGGAGCTGCCACTGCCATCGGGGAGGAAGAGGAGGAGCCGGGATGTGGGATGGCAGCGGTGGGTGGGCTGGGGCAGGCTGGGCCGGCCACACCTCACCGCTTGACCTCTGTGACCCCACTTCTTCTCTTTCCTAGGGCTACATTGGGCTCCCAGGGCTCTTCGGCCTGCCAGGGTCTGATGGAGAGCGAGTAAGTTTGCTTCTTTGGTTATTCACCATCCACCAGCCACCCCTGCCTAAGCAGAGCAGGACCTGCCAGGCACCAGCCTGGGGAAGTCAAGGAATTCCTCCTGGAGGAGGTGCACTTGAGTCGAGTAGGAGTCTGATAAAGGGACCAGTCAAGGCAGATGCGTTCCAGGCATAGGAAACAGCATGTGCAAAGTCAGGGATTTACGGTAACTTGGCGAGTTTAACAATCAACACCGCCAAAGTGCTGCATGAGAGGGTGAGAGTGGTAGGAGTTGAAGCTGGAGAGGGCCCTGGGGCAATGTCCTAGGTGACCAGGACTCAGGTCAGGAAAGGGACTCTGTTCTGATGGTATGCGGAGCCTCTTGAGGACTTGCAACCAATGAACACCAGGCCCACTTTATAGTATGGATCAGGGGTCTGCAAACTGTGGCCCATGGGCCAAATCCAGCCAGTTGTCTGTTTTTGCAAACAGTTTTATTGAGCTCAGCCTTGCTCATTTGGTTACATATTGTCAATGCCGCTTTCTCACTACAATGGCAGAGTTGAGTAGGTGTGACAGAGACCGTATGGCCCGCAGAGCCAAAGATATTCACTATCTGCCCCTTTCCAGAAACCATCTGCTGATTCCTCTTTTAGACAGATCAGTTGGTTTACTTGAGGAAAATGTGCTGGTGAGGGGTGGGGACAGCAAGAGCAGGTGGCAGGAATTCCAGCAGCCTGAGAACAAGATGGTGTGGCTGTAGCTGGCTGGGGGCAGTGGACCAGGGTAGAGGTGAGGACAGTGGGGAGGGGAGACTGGGCTGGAAACCTGGTCTCTGCTTGGGCCCTGAGGTCTCTGAAGAGCTGAGGACTCCCAGGCGGAGCAGCTATCTGGGGAAGGTGGTGGGGCTGGTTTGGTGACAGGCAGTGGGTGCTAAGATTTCCCAAGATCCCTGTCCTTCCAGATCAAGTATCAAAGTCAGAGGAGTCCAAAAGATGGTGTGGGAGCTTCTCATGGACCCCTGGCCCAGCCTGGAGGTCCATTAGAAGCCCTTGGGGTGGTGGCCTTGGGACCTTCCTCCCCTCCCCCTCCCAACCTGAGCCCATATCTATGGGAACTCAGTTGTAACCTCCATAAGCTGGGTATAGAGAATCTTAGGACAGCTGGAGCCTGGGCATTTATGAAGCATCTGCTGAACACAGGAACACTGGCATTTCTCTGTCTCTTAGGTCACCACAGACCCCGACCCTGCCATCCGTCCGACATGCATGTCACTGGGGCTGCCACGCAAATGGCGCATATTGCAGGCCCTCTGTGACTTCCTGCCATGGGTGGCTCTGGGCTGGTTTGGGGCAAGCCTGACTGTCCCTGCTGGCATCCTGCCCTGATGTCTACCCTGTCTTTCCCCTGCAGGGCCTGCCTGGTGTTCCTGGCAAGAGGGGCAAGATGGGTATGCCGGTAAAGATTTTCCGTGTCTATTACGCAGACTCTAGCGGGGAACCCCACCTCCCACGGCCACGCTGCCCTGGCCACCTGCTGCCTGGCATCTTCTGCTTCTCCCCCTGCTTTGAGTGTGGGGGCCGCATGTGGGGTTGCCTGGCCACAGGACCTGCTGCTGGCACACAGCGTGACTGGGGCCTGGCTGGGACTGGGGCTTCCGTGGGCTCTGGGCCTCCCTGGGGTTGGCTCCTCTCTCTGTGTGGGCAGCAGTGGCTCTCCAGTGCAGTTCTGTGTCTGGGGGCTTCTGTCTATTTGTGTCTGTGGGTCTGCTGTGACCGGGGGACCTTGGCCAGACCAGGTGACTGTGCTCCCATCTCAGGGAACACTCAGTCTCCACGTTGTCTGGGTGTCATTCCGCTCTGTCCAGTTTGCTCATGCACACACCAGGCCAGAGGACAATGGGGTGTATGGGCAGGGCCACACAGGCATGACCCAAAGAGGGGCTCAGCAGTGACCCCCAATCCACCAGCTCTCTCTATGACTCCCCATCATGGGAGGAAATTGTTTGCCCCTTGTTTGTACCTGTGCAGAACATGGAGAAAGAGCCAAGGCATGGAGAGATTAAGTCACTTGCCCAGGGTTTCAGGAGGAGTAAACAATGTAGCCAAGATTCGAACTCAGTTGGTCTATGCCCGGGGTCTTTGATCTCAGTGGCCGCTTGAGGCAGCCTCTCAGGGTCCCCAGCTGGCAGTCATATTATAAAAATAGGTTCCCTAGACTCTTTGCCTGGAAGGAAGGTCATTCATTCCAGTTATTGAGAAGGGGGAAACTGAGGCTCTGAGAGGCAGAGTGAGATATCCAGGGTCCCTCTGCCACTGCCCTGCAGGTTGACCCCTTGACTTGGAACCATGGTCAGCCCAAGTCTGGGCCTGCCATCGCTGGTGGTTGGTGAGGAAGGGAGTATGAAGAGGAGGCCTGGAGCATTCGAGAGTGCTCAGAGCGGCCTCTCTGTGATTCTGCCACTGACGGGCCTGTTAACTGTTGGAGCCTTTAACCTGGGCCCTCTGGGGGCCAAAGAGGAAAAGCAAAGAAAAGAAAGAAACAGGTCCTGGCCTCAAAGAACGGACAGAGGAGGTCCCTCCGCCCCCAACCCAGACCCCTCTGTGGCCCAGACAGGCAGTCTTCTCTAAGGTCCAACACCTGACACATAGACCTGGGCAAGGAGCAGCACCTGATGCTCCCGGCTTCAGGGCAAGGACCTGGAGTCTGAGAGGGCTGGGCTGGCACCTGGGGTTGTCCCTCAAGCCAGCGCGACCTTAGGCAAGGCGATTCATTCATCCAGTGATTATCTGTTCATCCCATGAATATCTGTTGAATGCCTACTATGGGCCAAGCGTTGTGCTTCGTTCGGGCAGAGCAGTGCGTGAGACAGAGTTCCCACTCTCTTGGGGCAGACAGACAGATGCACAGTCACTGAATGGGGAAATGGAAGAATGAACGATTAAATGAAGGTTAGGTAGTGCTGAATCTAAGAGAGAGTAGGATAGGGAGACAGGGAGTGCTTGGGGGTTGGGATATTGGATAAGTTAGTCCAGAAAGTCTCCCTCGCTTTATGAAGACTCTCAATGAGGTGGCGTGGAGGCTGTGTGGCTTTCAAGGCAAAGGCCCTGGGGAAGGAGCAGGCTTGGTTCAAATTTTCTGAACCACAGTTTTCTCTTCTGAGAAATGGGGACAATAGTATGGCCCATAAGATCATTGTGCTTGTCACTTAGTAAGTGCTCAATAAATGGAGCAGCCCTTGTTCCTATTTCCTGAATGGCTGAGGGGATCTCTGTATTGTGTGACACTGAGCCAATGACTTCACCTTTGCTGGGTCTGGTTTCCCACGGTTTAAGCTGCAGAGTGGAAGCATTTGACTTGCTTAGGTGATCTCAGCTGGGCCCTACCCCAACACTCAGGCCAGCCTCCAGGGTCACCTTTGGGGGATTTGTTCAGACGCATCCTAGGAGCCAGGCATTGCTGCTTTACAGATGAGATCGCTTCTCGGAGAGGTAAATGATGAGGTCAGGGTCACATGGCTGCTCAGTGTCAGAGTTGGATTAGAACACAGCCAGAGCTTTCAACTCCAGTGCCAGAGTGCAGCTGTTTAGAGCTTGGGGTCCGGAGTCTCCTGAGCATGGAAGAGGCAAGACCCAGGAAAGCCTGGGCATGTCGTGGCCTCTTCTCCAACCGGACACAACAAGGAATGTCAGCAGGGCCATGCCTCAGTTTCCCCCTTCCACCCCATCCTCTGCATCCTCCTCATCTCCCCTCCCGGCAGCCCCTTCATACACCTTCTCCCTGCCGTGTTCCTGTGTTCTTCTTGGAGCTGTAAGTCACCCTGTTCATGGCCTGGCTTAGAAGGCAGTCCCAGTTTTGAGGTCCCATTATCCTGCCTGTGTGAGATAAGGCCACTCATTCATTCCTCACTCGACCAAAGATTATTGGTTGAATATATTACTCTATGCCAGGCGCTAGGGATAACACTGTAGCCAAAACAGACAAAAGTCTCTGTTGTCATGAAGCTCAAATTTTAAGGGTAGAGACGATCAATAAACAGGACGAATAACCAGAAGAGGGCATGGTTGCCACCCTAAGCCCCCTGCAAGCGAAAGGAAGCAATGTGTATTGAGGCCCTTGGTGGTGCATAGTATTTGAACCACATGCGATTCTCCCAGTGAACCTTTGAGGCGGGATTGATCATCCCCATTTTCCAGATGAGAAAACTGAGGCTTAGACTGTCAAAGCCATTTGTCCACAGACCCTCTGAACCCTTGCCTGACTGAGAACTTCTGTCTGCTTCCTTGCTTTTTTGCCTTTAACTTTCTAAGACTAGGCTCTGACCTCCATGACAGGTGTGTTCCCTGGCACCGGGGTGTCAGATGTGGGTGGAGGGAAGCACCTTTTCAGCCCTAGGCTCATGCAATACCCTTGAGAGCTGTGAAAATACCCTCGACTCTGTTCCAGCCGCCGTGGCCAGCAAATCGGCAAGATCTGTGTCAGATATGATTTAATGTGTACGTAATGGGACTTCACATCGGCTGAGTCCCTACAGCTTTGTCTCTGTCTCCGCTGGGCCTCTGAGTCCGCCATGGCTCTCGGCCTGAAGACCCTGGACAGTCTTTAGGGCCATCCCTCTGTTGCTGGTGCTCCCAACCCCTTGAACTACATGGTGGGGTTGGGGGCTCCCGTCACGAGTGGTTTTTCCTCCTTATCCAAGCTTTAGGCCGGGCAGTTTCTAGGCACTTCTTAAGAAGAGGAAGTGACAGGGAAATGAGCTGAATTCCTTCATGCCAGATCGCAGCTGGCGTCATTTCTGGCAGGGCTGGTGATGATTTTGCTGTAGTCGGTCTTTCCCCAGCAGGCAAAACCTCGGGCCCATGCCTGCGGCCTCCTCAGTATCTAATTTGGAAGGGCGATGTGTGAGAGTCTTTTACTAACGGGAGCTGAGGAAGAGACAGTGGTGGTCAAAGCACATCAGGGCTATAGGAACCTTCGTGATGGCCTGGCCCAAACTCTTTTTTGGACAGATAAGCAGACATAGCCCAGAGAGGGCAAGACACTTGCCCGAGGTCTCACAGCAAGTTGTTGGCAAAGTCAAGACTTGAACCCAGAACACTTGCTTTCCAGGACAGGGTACTCTCCACAGGGCTCCCTCTTCTCTCTGCTCCCATCTTCAACCTCCAGAGGAAAGCTTGGTCCATAGCTCTCAGCCCTTCTCATACCTCCTGCTAAGAGAATGTGTTGTGGTTTTCTGAGGAGGGGTCCAGATAGAAAATGTGACCAGCTTTGGCTGGAGCTGAATGGGTTTCTCCTGCCTGTCCTGGCTTTTTGGACATGGCTCAGTGTCGCTCACAGTGAGAGACTGAGCCATGTTTCCCAGCCAAGGGTCTCTACGAGCAGGCTAGGAAGATGCTGCAGTGAGTCCTACCTGTCTTATCCGAATGTACTTTCAAGCCCGCTGGGATGGCCCCGCAAGGCAGGCCACCATGCACAGCTTTTCTCATAGCCGCTGGCCAGGCCTGCCAAGACTGGCCTCGTGCAATGAGTCCGGAGGGAAGACCCTGAAGCTTAGAGCTGGAAGGGCCCAGCCCTGGCACTGACTCCCTGGGGTGTGGCTCAGGGATGATTGGGACCTGCCCAAGGCCACGCAGTCCTCTGGGAGGAGGCAGGGCTTCTGACACGGTGCATTTGGGCTTCAAGTTCATGGCTCTTTTCAGTTCTCAGATTACAGGGAGCAGGCAGCCAAGTGACAGAGAATTCCTATTTCCAAGTAGGGAAATGGAGGCCAAAGCAGATTAAGGTTCTTAGCTGAGGTGATGCTGTGAGCTGGGGGTGTGGTCTCCAGTGACCCAGATGGGAGCCAGAGCTGACCCAGGCTGTTGGTGCCCCTGGAATCCTGGAGAGAACTCTGCCTTCCTGTCTTCTCCTGGTTCCCTGAGGTGACTTTTTGTGAGTAGATTTCCTAGTGGATTTCAGGAGAGCAGGGTAAAAACGTGTTTAGGCCACGAGAGGAGGGTGCTGGGAAACCTCAAGGGGTCTTTCCATGTCAGCACGCTTGGAGCCTGCACACCTAGAAAAGAATATGGCTGCTTCAAGTGCCGTAGGAAGGATGCAGGTTAGACTTAAGCAGGAACTTCCAGGCTTTGGAGAATGTCCACCTGATAGAAGTTCTCCGAGATCCTTTTGCGGGCTCCTTCTAGAGGTTACTAAATATTCCCACTCTTGATAGAAACCCTAACTAGTGTAGTGATGGCACATTAGAGTTGACCAGGGGTTGGATTAGAAACATCTCACCGTTTCTTCAGCCCAGCCCTGCCAGGTGAGTGGGACAGTGCTGACTGTTTTGCAGACCAGGGACCTGAGCCTTAGAAGCATGAGTGGAACTTTGGATTCTAGATGTTCCTTGCTTCCCTGCCCCTGTATCACACCCCTCGGAGCAGACGTTGGGGCGGACACTTCCTGGAGGCAGAAGAGTGGAGGAGATGGCCTTCTGCGTTCTCCTTGGCATCCTGCTTTGGATGTGGTGGCGAGGACCATCCCTTCCTCAGCTCTATTCCTCTGAGTTGTTGTGGCCAAGAGAGAATGCAGAGTCTCACTCCTGAGCCTTGTTCTATCTCCTCCTGGGCCTTGTTCTGCTCCAAGTACGAAGTGTTCAGTTCTCCAGAGGGGCCCGACCTGGGAAAGTAGAGAAACCACGTGGCTGGGGCCCCGGCAGGGAGCCGAGCTCATTCCTTGGGCCTGGGGCCAGCCTGCTGCATCCAGGAGCTCGGGCATGTGGAGGAAGGTCCCTGCTGCTGGCCACGCTGGGCATGCATGCCATGTGGTCGCCTTACACACGCAGGCATGGCCAGAGAGAGGGAAGCAGATGGGGTTGAAGTGGGGGCTATACATCCAGCTCAGCAGCCGCTGCTCTAAGACCCAGGGAGCTCTGGGGTGACTGCTGGAAATGGCTCTGCCACTTAGTAGTGGAGGGATGAGGCAAGGTAGTGGATGAGGGGGGTCTTGGGTGTGTTCTGGGCCGTAGTCTCCCCTTTGGTGTAATGAGGTGGTGAACATCAAGAACATCTCAAGTCTTTTCATCCTTAGACCTGTGATTGTTTCAATCAAAGATTTGTTCCAGCACCTTTAAAGCTCTTTTTTCCAACCACTATGCTCTTAATTACAAACCCTAGATTCCTAGAGGTCATCTGCTTGACCCCTCCATTGGAAGGAAGATTAAAGATGGAGACGGGGGTGCCTCCCCGAGGCCCTCGGCATGTCCAAGCAGAACCAGTCCTTAGCATCAATCATGCCATTCCTTTTTGCACATTAGCTCAGGACTCGAATGAGCCCTTTGAGAGCCTGTAGGCTGGTTCTAGTCCATCTCTTCATTCAGTGTCCAGTTGTAGCTAAGAGAACAGGTTCTGGAGTCACACGGCCTGGGTTCGAATCTCATCTCTGCTATGCCAGGGCTGTGTGACTTTGGAAACTTTTCCTAACCTCTCAGAATCACAGTTTCTTCATCTTGAAAATGCAGCCAATAATAGGACCTGTTGGGTGGTCACGCTGTTGGAGTTTACTGTTGTTATGATTGTTTCATCCCACCATCATCGCCCTCTGGTTAGACTCAGGCTGCATTTTGTCTGCAGAGGTTCCTCCCCTCCAGAAATGGACTCAAAATTCTGATGACCGTCTCTCCCTTGCTTATACCTCAGAGACATTCCCTCACGGGGCTGTGGCCTCCCATGTGGCAATGAGGCACCCTCACTGAGGCACCCTCCATGGGGCGTGTCAGCTCATCCTCACAGCAAAGAAAACTGAGGCCCCAAGAGGCCCGTGGGTGGTGCAGTCAGGACTGTCATGGGACAGGCTGGCCCAGCAGCTGGGCCTGAGAGGAGTCTTTGAGCCAGCCTGGAAGGGCCTCTGAATGCAGACCCATGGGTCTGAGACCTGCCTGGTGGCTGCTATATGTGAATATATTGGGCATCACAAAGTCCTAAAGGGTCCTTAGAGATCACACACCCTCAACCTGAGCAGGACAGAGGGTCAAGTGTGGGGACCTGCCCAAGTTCAGACAGCCAGCCTGGAGGAGAGCCAGGGCTCATCCGCAGGCCATCTCCATATGCTGGACTTGGAGAATGGAGCAGGGACTACTCAAGTCCTGTTCCTTGTAGGCCATGTGAAGTCAGCCAGGTGACCAACCAGACAATATCCCCTTTGTCTCAAGGAGTTGCTTTCCTCTCCTACCAGGTCCTTCTACCCCAAAGTCCAGAGGCCACAGGTGGGAACTCATTGCCTTCAGAAGGCGCCCCTGGCTGGGCGCCATGGCTCACACCTGTAATCCCAACACTTTGGGAGGCCAAGGCAGGCAGATCGCTTGAGCCCAGGAGTTTGAGACCAGCTTGGGCAACATGGAGAAATCCCATCTCTACCAAAAATACAAAAATTAGCCAGGCGTGGTGGTGTGCGTCTATAGTCCCAGCTACTTGAGAGGCTGAGGCGGCAGGATCACTTGAGCCCAGGAGGCAGAGGTTGTAGTGAGCAGTGATCATGCCACTGCACTTCAGCCTGGGTGACAGAATGAGACCCTGTATCATGAAAAAAAAAAAAAAAAAAAAAGGAAGAAGGCTCCCCTGGCCACAGCCCACCTGGCTGATTCTTGTCCCAGGAGGTGAGACGATCTACCTTCAGCATGACCAAGAAGGACTGGTTTAGGTGAGACTGGAATTTGGCAGGTGAGACCCTAAAGATGTGGGAGGAGGAAGCTTGGGTAAGGTCAGATATGCTCCCACAAAGACATGATCTGGATACACACACACACGCATACACCCTCCTCTGCCACACTCCTCTGCCACCCTCTGCAACCAGTTGGACATGCGTTTGAGCAGCCTCTGCATACCAGGCTTTGCCCATGCATAGCTCATATGAACATGCCAAACTCCAGAGGTGGACCTGAGCTCTGCTTGCTTTATGACCTTGGCCATGTGATGTTGCCTAACCGAGCCTCAATTTTCCCGTCTGTGAAATGGGACCAATAACTTTTCCCTCAAAGATACATATCAAACGCAAATGAAGTCTTGCATGCGAAGTGACTAGCTTGGTCTCAATTTCATTACCGTCTTCTCATTTCCTCCTTTTGGTGTCTGAATGAAGCCACACCTTCTGTGGGGTGAATGTCAACCCAAGAGGACTTCCTGGCAGAGGAGAGATTTGAAGGGACGAGGGCTGCGGGGCAGGGCCAGGCTAAACACCTGGTTACACACACACATTTCAAAGTGTCTTTGCCTAACCAGTAGAGACTCTGGTTTGGGTTTTGTTTATAGGTTTGGTCCTTTGGGTTTAGTGTGCTCACTGGACTCCTCCAATGGTATTAGAAACCAAAAACAGGATGATCCTCTGTGAGGAATGTTTACCATTTGAATCATAGCTCCAGCATTCGCTTGGTCAGGAAAACATGTGCTTTGTTTTTTTTTTTTAAATTACATTTCCCTGGAAAAACAATGATTTGAATTCAAGGAGGGGAGGAGAACAGGTTTCCCCCAACTCCAAGCTTGAGGACTTTCTTTTCCTTTTGAAGTAGGAATGGAGTTCTGTCCCCGGCCCCTGAAGGCGTCCTCACAGCTGATATTTTTCCAGCTGCCTATCTCCCCAGAGCTGGAGCGGCCTCCAGAGTGGGGTCAAGGATGGGGCGGGAGGGACAGACCTGCCTGGGCCGGGCAGCTCAGCATCTCTCTGAGCTGCTGAAACACCTGTGGAGGCTGTGCTCATGTTCACTGGTGGTGTGACTTTGTGTGACCTTGCCACTTAACTCTTTCACAGCCTCGCTTCCTTTATCTGTCAAATGGGGATCATGATTTCACTGGGTGGCTTTTGAAGAACGTGCCACAATCAGAGAAGGTCTGAGCTGGGAAATGCAACAGAGGCCTTCCCCTCCTTGACCAGTGGGGAAACAGAGGCTCTTAAAACTGGCCTAGATCCAGCTTCCTGCCCCTAGTCTGTGTCCTTCCCGTTCCATCAGGACCAGGTCTCAGAACAGAGGATTGGCATTTTCATGCTGGGGAGGTGGGTACCATTTTCTTTTCAGAGACTGAGTAGAAAGAAAAGGACCCGTGAGAAATTCTTTATGCGCAGGTGCTTGTCGATGGTAGGGGTGACCTCAGGACTCCACTGTCTGCCCATGACCAAGGAGTGAGACTGCTTGGACATTGTCCTTGTGTCCCCCCTGGGGGTCTGGATCAAAGCCCCACCCTGCAGGTGAAAACACTAACCTACAGATGTTTGTTCTCTCTCATGCCCTCCAGGGGTTTCCTGGAGTCTTTGGGGAAAGAGGCCCTCCCGGACTGGATGGAAACCCTGTAAGTATTTCAAGTCCTTGGGAACAGGAGATTCCGAGTGAACACACAGCACATTTTAGGAGTCCACGCTTTAGGGTCAGACAGACCTGGGTCAAATCCCAGCCCTGTCAACTACCAGCTGGGCACCCTTGGGCAAATTACGTGACGTCTCTAAACGCTAGGCTCCTGTCTACTGTGACTGCCCTGTCACCCCCCGTAAGAGTCCCCAGCCCACTGAGCCCCTGGGTCCAAAGCTCCAGGCTGCACCCCGTTTCCAGGACTTCGGAAGGTTCATGGATCACTCCCCACTGGAGAAGCCCCGGCTGCTGCCATCTTACAAAGCATCAGAAATGTTTATGGGCCGGCAGAGGCTTGGGGAAGCAAACGGTTTGCAGGCCGTGTTTGGAGAAAAGGAAGAGCTGAGTTCCAAAGGAATCTCCACCACAGGCATGTTTATAGAGTTTGTAAATAATTAGAGGCCCAGGCTCTGTTCCACGAGGAGCCAGGTCAGCCTGCCCTGGGGAGCCGACTCTGTCTTTCCCTTCCCGGCTCCAGGCCGTGGTGGGAGAAGGTGTTCATGGTCCCCCATCTCTCCTCGGGGCTTCCTGCCTGAGCAGCTGTGCCAGCTGTGCCCTCTCCAGTGGTGGCTGCTGCATTCATAACCAGCACCCGATTAGGCGCTAATTCAGTTCCACAAATGCTCCCTGAGCCTGACCCAGCCAGGCTCCCTTGGGGATTAAGCCTTGACCTCAGAGCCCTACGGAGCTGGGTTTGAATTTTCTTGCACCACTTGTCAGGTGTGTGAGCTTTGAAAAATCCATTCACCTCCCTGAATCTCAGTCTCCTTGTCTGCAAATTGGGGGAATCAGAATTCCAGCCTGAGGCCAGGTGCAGTGGTTCACGTCTATAATCCCAGCACTTTGGGAGGCCGAGGTGGGTAGATCACTTGAGGCCAGGAGTTCAAGACCACCCTGGCCAACATGGCAAAACCCCGTCTCTACTAAAAATACAAAAAATTAGCTGGGCGTGGTGGTGGGCACCTGTAATCCCAGCTACTTGGGAGGCTGAGCGGGGAGAATTGCTTGAACCTGGGAGGTGGAACTTGCAGTGAGCCGAGATCACGCCACTACACTCCAGCCTGGGCAAGAGAGTGAGACTCTGTCTCAAAAAAAAAAAAAAAAAAAAAAGGCCGTCGTGAGAATGAAAGGAGCGGCAGCCAAGGTGTTGCGCTCATCACACGGGTTCGGTGGGTGAGGCTGTGTAAAATACTGGGTAATCTGGGGTACAGTCCTGACCTTGAGGAGTTCATGGGCCATTGCTCTCCTCTGTCACACAACAGGCAGTGGGATGGGTGGGATTAAAGAGGTCCCAGGTGCCTCTTTGGAGAAGAGAACAGGGAAGTAACATTTGCATTGGGATGAGGAGATAGGTGGGGAGACATTGCAGGTGGAGGAAGGGCCATCAGCAAAGGCATGGGGTGGAGGGAAATCAGAGCCTCTCCCTCAATACATCACTTGTTAGAGTAACTGTTAGCGATATGCAGTATCATTCTGCGAGTTTCCTTGGGGAGTGGCAGGGATGTCTTTATGCTCCTGGCATAGAGGAACAGAAAAGACCTGATGTCCGTTTCTTCCCCTCATTTGAAGCGAAGGCTGTTGCTTACTTCTCATTACTAATCACAATGTCTAGAGCCCTGGAGTTTGATATTCTCACTTTTCCATTTTGAACTTGACTCAAACCCCTCCACCTGTCATTTCTCAGGTGGGCCATGGAAGATTCATGTTTAAGATGGGGAAACTGAAGTGTAGGGGGGTAAATCACACACACAGCCTCATCTCCTGACTCCCAGGCTAGAACTCTTTCCAGCCTCTGGGGGGCCCTGGAAGAAGGACATGTGAGGGTGTGGGGTGCTGGGGAGGATTCTCCAAGGGCCACAGCACCTCCTGGCTGAGAAAGGGAAGGAGGTCAGCTTAGAGGCTCTCAGCTTGGAGTCCTCCTGGCTTTGTCATTTCCTTGCACCTGGCCTTGGGTGAATCACTTAACCTCTGGAACTTCAGTTTTCCTGTCTATAAAATGAGCGTGAAATGTCAAGCACCATGCACATCTGTATGACCATGATCGCGATTCCGCTCATTCCTTTATGCTTACAATGGGAAGATACTGGATTTGGAAATCCAACCTCCCCATTTGACAGACGAGGAAAGCTGATGGCAGAGAGGGGATGGCTGTGGTCCAAACTCCAGGCCAGACTCAGGAAAGTCCCTGGAGCCTGTGGTCAGGAATAAGAAGAGTTCAGCTCTGAAAGACCCCACCAGGTGCCTGTGTGGAGGATGACATGGAGGGAGGGGCCCTGGAGGGAGATGGGACAAGTAACCACCTTGGTGTCTGTCTATCTGCAGGGAGAACTGGGCCTGCCAGGCCCCCCTGGAGTCCCCGGCCTCATTGTAAGTACACCGATGCCTGGGGCAGCGGGTGGGTGTTGGAGAGACTCAGGGTGGAGCCAGCGTGTGGGGAGCCAGGAGCAGGCCCTGCAGGGGGGTTGAAAAGGCCCCTTTCTCATCAAACCTCCGGAGCGACTGGGGGGCCAGGAGAGACTAACCTGGGTGGGGAAGGTGAGTGGGGGAGGGTGGGCGGGTTGAGGGAGGAGAGCCCTGCTGTGTGGCCTCAGGTGGATCACCTACCTTGTCTGAGCCTGTTTCCTTATTAGTTAAATGAGATGAGCGCTTGGAGCACAAGATTGCCAAAGCACTTTCACAGCTGCTGCGTGCATGGCCATGGCTCTGCAAGGAGGTGTGGGCAAGTGGTGGTGGCGTACTTATTTGACAGGTGAGGTGCTCCAGGTCCAGGGGGAGGAGGTAGTTGGCAGGGTGGTCTTTTGCACTCTTTTCCTCCAAGCAGACTTCAGAGCCAGACCACCTAGGTTCAAGTCACAGGCCCGCCACATCCTGGTTGTGTGACCTGGGCCAAGCCACTTACCCTCTCTGGGCCTAGTTTCCTCATCTGTGAAATAGAGGTGATAGCAGAATCATTCTGGAGTGGCCGTGAGGATTAAAGGAGGCATCACATGTGTAGTCCTTGGCACGGGATCTGGCACCCAGTAAGTGCTAGTGGAAAATATTGTTATACTAATTCTTGTTATTACCTCCTGAAATGCCCAGGGCTGACAGAGCCTAAACACAAGGAGGTGGGAGGCGGTCTGACCTGACTCCATCCAGGTGGCATAGGCCTGGAGGAGTGGTTCTAGCCAAAGCCAGGGCCCCTGCTGGGCTTTCAGTGGAGTGAGTGTTAACCTTGTGCCCAGCTCCGGGGGCCGGTGAGAGGTCAGAGCCTGGGAAATGATACTTCAAGTGTTCCCATAGTCTGATGCCCCCTCCGCCCTGTCCATTGGGTCATTCCTCATGGGGTTTGAGTCTCGGGGCCCATGGAGGGACACAGGTAAACTATCCGCTAGCTTGACAAACGAGCTTCCAACTTTACTACTCCAGCAATTGTACTGAGAAATTCTGCTCAGGGAAGCGCTGGAGGAGGCCCCTGAGGTAGGCAGGGGACCCCATCGCTCAGGGGAGGCCAGTCCTGGGAAGATGGTCCAAATGTCCCCATGGCCACCTGTGCCTGCTCAGGTGAGTGGGAGCAGAACCTGGGTGGGGTGGGCAGAAGGTGAGAGCCCTCTGTGTCTGAATCCTGGCTTTGCTACCTCCTGACTGAACTTCACCTTGGCCTCACTTCCCTGAGCCTCGGGGATCCCCTCTGTGAAATGGGATCATTGTATCCACTCTTATCAGAACCACAGAAACACACAGTCCGTTCCAGTCCAGTGGCTCAGAGGACAGTTTCTGGAACCAGACTGCCTAGGTTCAAATCTCCTAGCTCTACCACTCATTTAATCACAATCTGGAGCAAAATTTTTAACCACCCTATGCCTTGGTTTCTTCGTTTATAAAATGGGAACAATATTGGTACGCAACTTGGAGGATTGTTGTGAGTGAGGATGTAGATAAATAAATATGTAAAGTGCCTAGTATATAGCAAGCACTCAAGAAGTACTAGTTAGGATAGTAATAGCTATTGTGGGTGTTATTATATTACATACACATGTGATATTTTACACCCGGTAGCAGCTATCTAGGTTACTGACTTGAGAAAAATTTCACAGTCACATTGGAACTTGGTTGGAGAGAGTGCTGTAATTGATGAGTGATGTCTGCCTTGGCTGGGGTTGAGGAAGTGTCAACACATGAGTCATAAATTTGTCATCCCTGATGTCCATTCAGTAGAACTTTGCTGAGCACCTTCTTTGGCACAAGGCATTGACCTAAATGCTTTGGAAAAAGAAATATCTGCCATGGGAATTCGAGAACTCTCTAGAAGTCTTCTAATCTGACTCTCTCTAAGCCCAACAGGAATCCCTTCTGGAGCATCTTGGTCATATGGTGATTAAACTCCAAATTGAACACCTCCAGTGTAAAAAGTCCCTCCCTCTCTGGGAGCCTAGTCCATTCTACACAGCTCTCATTGTTCAGTGTTTTCCTGTGGATCGAACCCAAGTCGTCCTCACTGTCCCTGAGTGAGGCTGTTTGAGGTGTAAAATGGTCTTTGTCTGTGCTTCCCAGGGCTCCCTCTAAACAATTCCAATCCCAAAGCCTTTCTGAAGGGATGTTTACATATCCTGTCTGTCATCCTTGGCACATGTTCCTATTTGTCATCATCCCAGCGTTCACTAGGTTGGGTCCCGAAAGGAGCAAGAATATTGCTTAGTGGAATCAACACAGATTCTGGGGTTTTGGACTATAGCATCGTAGCCCTCCTGGTTCTACCTTTTTTGAGATAGAGTCTCACTGTGTCTCCCAGACTGGAGTTCAGTGGTGCGGTCTTGGCTCACAGCAACCTCTGCCTCTCGGGCTCAAGTGATCCTCCCATCTTAGCCTCCCAAGTAGCTGGGACAACAGGTGTGTACCATGACGCCCAGCTAATTTTAGTATTTTCTTTTTGTAGAGACAGGATTTTGCCACATTGTCCAGGCTGGTGGGCTCAAGCGATCTGCCCGCCTCAACCTCCCAAAGTGCTGGAACCTCCTGGTTCTTTACAAAGCTCATTCTTACCTGCACTCTCTGCTGCACTCCACTGTTAGGGTTGCCAGATAAAATATGACACCTAGTTAAATTTGAATGTCAGATGCAATATTTAGAACACATTTATAGTAAAATGTCACTCATTATTTATGTGACATTCAAATTTCACTGTTCCTGTCATTTTAATTGTCCAGTCTGGAAACACTATTTGCAGTGTCTGTTAGGAGAAACCCTTTCAGCAAATGGGAAAACTGAGGCCCCTGGTCAAGGTCACGTACCTGGCAGGTGAGGATGGAGGCCATGAATCTCAAGTCCTAGTCCAGGGCACTCCTGTTTTTGCTTCTGAGCAGCCTGTGCTGGGGGCAGAGCCCTGGGTCTTTTCTGCGTTTCATGGTACCCCCTTTTCCCAGAGCTGATTTGTTCTGCCTTGTGATCCCTTCATGCTGTGTCTTTTTTTGGCCACTTTCAGCCTCCTTCCTCAGTTTTTAGATTCTTTTCGCTGCCAAGATGAAGTGTCCTCTCTCCTGTGACTGTGGGGTCACAGGGCTGGGCCTCAGCCCATCAAATCACCTCTGCTCCCCGAGCGAATGCCTCCTTCCCCCCTGGATTTTTGGGAATAGCAGCCTCTGTGCCTGGGGGAAGAAACTGTCTCCCCAGAGAGCTGGAAAGGAAAGGAATTTTCTAACCAGGAGTTAAAGAGGAAGAGGGATTGTGAGTCACCTACGGTTTTCCAGAGGATGTGGGTTTTTAGCTGAGCAAATGGGAATTCCACGTATTGATAATCATTTTAGTGGAAATTCAGATTTATTCAATGCCTCTGTCTAGTCAGTTGAAGCAATTTGCATGCAGACTGAAGCCAAACCTTCCTTCCGTCCCCCGGGTCCTTGCAGCCGGGAGGAAGGGCGTGAGAGGACAAACTAACATTTATTAAGCGTCTGCTCTGTGTGCATCGCATGCACTGGGCTGGGGAGGCCTCGCGAAGCCGAGGTCACCAGTTAGAGAGTGGAAGTGTCGGGCTTGTCACCTGGGTCCATATGCCTCAATTCCAATAAGCCACCGGTGGCTCCCTGCAGCCTCAGAGGTGAGAGGGCCTCCACACAGCCCTCTTTGAGTAACTGAAACCCTTTGGCAGGCCCTCAAGAAAACTGTGCCTGATTCCAGAATCTGCTCAACAAAGACGATTTCTGTCCTTTCTATTCAGAGTGACACAGAGGAAATGTTGGCTCCTCTACGATTTAATGAGACCCAAAGAACATGTGATCTGGCCACAAACCCAGCATGTGAGGGGCAATGGATTTGTCCACCTTATTCTGCCACTAAACGATCACCTGGCTTTGTCTCCTTGCTTATAAAGCAAAGTTAGATACCCCACCACCTGGCATGCAACAAATCCTCTTGTGCCCAACGCTGTGCCAAGTTTTTAATTGTCACAACAGCCCTCTGAGGGTAGGAAGTGGGGCCACCAATTTACACTTAAGGAAACTGAGCCTCAGAGAGGGTGAAGCACCTGCCTAAGGTCACACAGCCAATCAGCTGGACCTGGCCTGTCACAGCTCACACTCTCCACTGCTGCACCACATCCCCAGCTCCTCAAGACTTCTGTGCTGAACAGAGATAGCGGGTGTGGGACAGCATGGACTGGGCAGTGCCAGGGCTGTTCTCATGTGAGAGATGGTGCTTAGTAAGACCACACAGCAACTAGAACTGGCCACAGCTCCAGCTCCCTGTCCCTAACCCACCTGGCATTGGTGGCCTTCAAAGGCAGTCCTCAGAGGGATTATAAGTGAGCATGTTTAGCTTTCTTTTTCACCATCATTAAGCCACTTTTACCAAGCACCTCCTCAGAGCTGTACCCTGTGCTGGGCACTGGAACCACAGAGGTGAGGTCCTCAGAGCAGGCACCTGCCCCTGGTCTGGAGGCAGCACAGGCGGTGGCCCTATAGGCACATGCAGAAAGGATGGCCGGTGTCAAGGGCCCTGAGCGAGAGGCATGGGGCTCTGAGGCCTGACAGCAGGGGCATGACCTGGTCTTGGGGTCAGGGAAGGGATGTTAGCGCTGGAGGCCCAAGGACAAATGGGCATGAACAATGCCAGTGGAGGGCACGGCACTCTGGGAATAGGAAACAGCTTGAGCCAGGGTTGGGGAGATACGTCAGTGGCTAAGTATGTCACAGCTAAGGAGGAAGAGCAGGGCAGGAAGGTGAGATGTGGGAGCAACCGTCATGAAGGATGGGCACCGGATGTTCCCCACATTAGCCTCCGGGCATCCACTGGCTGGCAGTCAGGGGAGCACAACTCCGTTTTTCCGAGTCTCCAACTTGACCTGATGCCCTGTCTCAGGTGAGACATAGCAACAGGAAAGGCAGCCGTCAGTGGTTTTGTTTTTTTTTTTTTTTGGTCAACAGCCAACTCAGACCTTGTGAGCATGGACTGTGGGGTCAGACAGACAGACAGATGGATGGACAGACCTGGGTTCCGGTCCTGCCTTTGCCCCCTGCTTATCGCTCGATCTCAGCCAGGTTATGTCACCTGTCCCTAAGCCTCAGTTTTCCCATCTGTAAAATGGAGTGGGACTGACAGTGGTGCTTACCTCCTGGGGTTACTGTGAGCAGCTGGTGAGCGTCCAAGCCACCAGCATCGTCCCTGGCATGGCAAAGGTGCCCAGAGTGACATTTAGCTATTGTTAAGGAGGGTTCAAAGTGGGTAGCGTGCATCCGGCACACAGTGGGCGTTCTTTAAATGGTGACAGACAGGGCTGATTGTGTTGTTGGTGGGAGTCAGTGAGAAGGGCACAGTGTGGCGTGCGGTGTCTGGGAGCTTAGAGAAAAGTGGAAACAGGATCCAAATTAAGAGCCTTACTCATTATTCTTTCTCATGGGGACATGACATTCTGAGTGGCTCCGGCCAAGCTGGTCTGGAGGGCGTCTGGTACACAGGAGACGGCTGCTCTGCAAGCTGCCCTCAGGGGATGCTGGCCTGGAGTTTTCTTTGTTCCTCCCGGAAATGCTTTTGTAGCCCAATGTGGGGGTCCCACCAACACAGGGGGACCTGCCATATGCAAGCTGGCACCTTCTCCGGGTGTGGCCTGCAGGCAGGGGTCTCTCTGCCAGATTCCTTCTCCCCTAGGGTTGGATGCCCACGTGAGGTCCCTGCCCCCACCACACACAGACCCCTTCGGAGAGGCCTGCTGAGGCAGCGAGCGGGACCTGGGGAATGGGGTGTTGTGCTGTGACTCCCGAGGACCCACACAGGTGACCATCCGGCCTGTACTGAATTGAGTCCCACACAACAAGCCACTTCAGGCCTGGAGGGAGGAAGAAAGAGCCTGTGTTCCCGAGCTGCTGGCGGCCCCTCTGCTGCCACCCTGCCTGGCCCCCAGCAGAGCAGGACTCCTCCAGCAGAGCCCGCTCTGTTTATTTGTGCATCAGGGGGAGCTCTGGGCTGGCCACCCTGGCTGCCTTCGTCCAGGAAAGGAGAGAGGCAGCAGCCAGAGGGACCTGTGGACATGCGGCTCTCTGCAGAGAGAGGGGGCCTCCCTTCCAATCCGGCTTCTCTCCCTCCTCTCCAGAGACCACCTCAGAATAGCCTAGAAGCTCTGGAGACAGGCTGCGTAGTGTGAATCCCAGAGGTGCCCCGGCTCTGTGATTTCGCTGGAGCCCTAACTTCTCAGAGCCTCAGTTTCCTCATCTATGAAATGGGGACAGTAGTAGACTGATCTTGAAGGGCTGTGGCGAGGAATTACTGGGTTAAGGCAGGTCAAGTGCTTAGCACAGTGCTGGCAACTGGCATTTGCTTATTATTAACACCCGTTAAACTGAGCCCTCACTTTCTCAGTGAGATTATTTGATGGGACCTGAAAGCAGAATTTCTTTCTTTTTCTTTTCTTTTCTTTTCTTTTTTTTTAAGATAGGGTATCTTTCTGTTGCCCAGGCTGGAGTTCAGTGACGCTATCATAGCTCTCTGTAATCTTGAACTCCTGGGCTCAAGAGATCTACCTGCTTCAGCCTCCTAAGTAGCTGGTACCACAGGCATGCATCACCATGCCCAGCTAATTTTTAAATATTTTCTGTAGAGATTGAGTCTCCCTATGTTGCCCAGGCTGGTCTTGAACTCCTGGCCTCAAGTAAACCTCCTACCTAGGCCTCCCAGAGTGCTGGGATTATAGGCGTGAACCATGACGCCACGCTGGGCCTGAAAGCAGAATTTCTTAGCAAAGGCTCAGCTGGGAGGTTTTGTTTAATCCAATCCAATGAGAATCCTAAAGTCCAGAGAGGGGAAGCGTTTGCCCAAGATCACACAGGCCAGGAAGCACCAAGGCCAGGCTCCTGTTGCTCTGGGGTTGGGAGAGTGAGAATCGGCATCATCTCAGGCAGGCTGAGCTGCCGTCTGCAAACTCCACACAGTCTGTCTGTCTGTCTGTCTCTCTCTCCTCGGGGGCATTCCATCGCATAGTCCCCTTGGCCCTTCCTGCAGGAGCCAGGCAGGAATGTGGTTTTTCATTCTCTGCCTGGCCTCCCTCCGAGACGTCTCCAGGCAGCTCAGACAAGAACTCCAGTTCCCATTCTTGAGCCTGGCGACCTGGGGCAGCCTTTGTTCCTCCAGTGCTTCAGAGCTGTGCCCCCACCTCAGAGCACTTGCCAGGGGCCTCCATAGAGCCTGATCAGGTAGTGGGAAACAGAGGCCCAGAGAGGTCAGCCACGTTGCAACCACACAGCAGCCAGACGCTCATATCAGTCACGGAGGATGGACAAGGGAGAGAAGAGGGTATTTTCAGGGTCTGCCTTTCTCTGAGTGCGGACTTAATGTTATGGCTGTGGCTGAGAGAGTGATGGAGTGGGCAGAAGTGAGATTTGAGGGGAAAAGCGTAGGCTGGTTAAGAGAAAAGTCAGCCGCTTCTTCACTCTGTACCAGGATTCCTGGACCTTGGCACTACTGACGTTTGGGCTGGATGGTTATTCGTGGCGGGGGCTGTTCTCTGCACTGCAGGATGCTGAGCTGCATCCCTGGCTTCTGCCTACCAGATACCAATAGCACCTCTTAAGTTGTGACAACCAAGAATGACTCCAGACATTGCCAAGTATTTACATGTTAAATCAGTTACTCCTGGAAACAAGGCTGGCAGGTAGACAGTACTGTACGTCCTCACTTGTCACATGAGGAAACTGAGTCGTGGAGACATCAAGTTCCCCCGGTTCACACAATGAGTGAGTCCCAGAGGAGAGCGGGACCCAGTGGTCTGCTGTTCACTGGGTGGACAGAGAATGAAAAATCACATTCCTGCCTGGCTCCTGCTGGAAGGGCCACGGGGCCTGTGCAGTGGAATGCCTCTGGGAAGACAGACAGAGGGACGGTGTGGAGTTTGCAGGAGTTTGCAAATGGCAGCTCAGCCTGGTTGAGAGCTTTCCAGAGCCTTCCTTGCAGAGGAAGGAAGGCAGGCTGTGGAAAGGCCAGGAGGGGCATCGTGGGGACAGCACTCAGCCAGGCTGAGCTGTCACCTGCAAACTCCACAGTCGTGAAGGGAACTTGGCTTTTCAGGTCTGGGAACTCCATTTTTCTCACCTTGGACCAGCTGATCTGATCTGAAGCTGGGTCTCTAACCTGTGGTCCAGGATCCACCAGCTGATTGTAGTGTCCCACAGGGTCCATCGCCAACTCTGGGATTTCTGGGATCAACAGCCTCACTCCTTACTTGCTGCCCTCCTCAGAGATAGCCAAGCCTCTGGGAAGCAGGAGGTGCCTCCCCTCATGTAGCCGGAGGAGTCAGAACTCCCATTGATGCCTTCTTTAACTCTTACAGCAGCTCCGGGGGGACAGATAGAGAGAGCCTGAGGGTCCAAAATAGTCAAATGAAAAGCCCTTTGTCCCTGATCTGGGGTAAAGAATCAGATAGAGGAGAAAAATATTGAATATGGAAAGGAATGGGGATAGGGAAGGGGCAGCCATCTAGAAATGAGCTTGGGCAAGGATCTTTATGAAGTTTATTCCAGCACTTTAGTGGAGGTCTCCAGATGAAGAACATTCCAGATTCTGAGATCAATCCTACAGAGTCGTGTCTTCAGAAGCCCAGCCCCACGGACCTTGGGGATTGTTGTCACCACCCAGGCCAGCCTCCTGTGGGTCACTGCTTACAGCACCCTCTTCTCTTTCTTCCCCCACAGGGTGACTTGGGAGTGTTGGGTCCGATTGGCTACCCAGGACCCAAGGGCATGAAGGTAAGCAAGGGACGTCCCCCAATTCAGGCCTCATCCCAAGTGGGCACCCCCGACCCATTTCATCCCAGAAGGAAGGGTGACCTTAGATGATGCTAGGGGAAGGGAGGATGGCAGGATGCTCAGAGTGCTGCTAGGAGGAAGCTGGGCAGGTCAGGAGCTGTCAGCTCTGGCCCCAGAGCCAGGCATCATCTGTATGTCATTTAGGCCAGGCATCCTCCTTGAGCTGACATGGTTCCAGGCCTCAGAGCACTGGAAGTCCAGTAGGGGACATCACCAGGGCCACAGAAACTACCATGCAAACCAGTGAACTCAGCCCATCCCTGAGTGGGAAGGTCGTGCAGCAGGAAGGCAGGCCAAGACTGCTAGACCACATCCCAGGGACGACCCAATTTAACCAACATGCCCTTCCCTCCCCATCAGTGCCTTCTTCCTCTGGATTTGTCTGCAGTGCTGTGGTTCACTGCCTCTTCTCATAGCTCCTTCAGTCCACACCCTTGCCCTGTGACATGGGAGTCATTTGCCCCCTTTTACAGATGTGAACACTGAGGTTGGGGGATCGAGCAGGGGTCTGGCAGCAAGTCACGTTTAAGCCAGGGCTCCTAACTCTTGTGGCCTAGAGTTCCATCACAGCTGGCCTTGGGCCTTTGTCTTGCAGGGACTGATGGGCAGCGTGGGGGAGCCCGGACTGAAAGGTGATAAGGTGATCTGAATACTCCCTTATTGCACTGTGGTTTCTCTGCATGCCAACCCCCTCTCCGCCCGGAGGCTGCTGCTGATCTCTCGCCAGGTCCACTCCCCTGCACTCTTCTTGCCTCTCCTCTCGCCTCCCCTAAATCTGTGCTCCCCAGCTTCTTCCTAGTCACCCTGGGTGGGGCTCAGGCAGATAGTTCTGGGAACCCGAAAACCTCAGCAGATAGTGCATAAGGATCTTTATGAAGTTTATTCCAGCACTTTAGTGGAGGTCTCCAGATGAAGAACATTCCAGATTCTGAGATCAATCCTACAGAGTTGTGTCTTCAGAAGCAAGCAGGGCAGGTATGTCAAGACAGGGCTCTGAATCCAGAGAGTAGAGCTGAGGCCAGCATCTGTGCTTTGAAGGCAAAGCCACAGAGCAAGGAGCGTGGCAGTGAGGGCACAGGAGGAAACAAATCTACATAGACCACCTTGGCGTGAAATTGGGAACCCAACCCCAGAGAGCGTGCCGACTGGAAATGCGACTCTGAGCCCCTGACCCGCTTCTCCTGCTGCCATGGGGATGGCTACCCTTGCCATGTGTCCTCTGTACAGCCCTGCTGCTGAGCTCTTCCTATCTCACCCTGTGCCAAACCAGAGTTGGAAGTGGGAAGACAGGCCCTGGGGGCCCAGAGTGAAGCAGCATCTGAATACCAGAGACACAGGGCCCAGCACTTGTGCCCTGCTCTGTGCCTGTCTTCCTGCCTAGCCTCTTCAGACCCTTGGCAAACCAGGACCCCCAAAGGGGGTGCAGGAGGGGTTCAGGGCAACATTCCAAGTATCCGTGAGACATCCGAAGGACTGACTGCTGCTCAGTCCCTCCTGTGGTCAGTTGACACCGCACCTGTCTCTAGGTACCTCTGCTTTCCCCTACACCTGAGTCATAAGGTCAGGTGCCATGCTGGGTACCATCTGAGTGCACCACATGGACCCACCCATTAATCCTCCTACCCACTGTGAAATAAGAAGCTTGCTTGGGCCGGGCACGGTGGCTCACGTCTGTTATCCTGGCACTTTGGGAGGCCGAGGCGGGCAGATCACAAGGTCAGGAGTTTGAGACCAGTCTGGCCAACATGGTGAAACCCCGTCTCCACTAAAAATACAAAAATTAGCCTGGCATGATGGTGGGCGCCTGTAATCCCAGTTACTTGGGAGGTTGAGGCAGGAGAATAGCTTGATTCTATAATCCCAGTTACTTGGGAGGCAGAGGTTGCAGTGAGCCAAGATCGCGCCACTGCACTCCAGCCTGGGCGACAGAGCAAGACTCCATCTCAAAAAAAGAAGCTTCCCTGAGGCCACACAGCTGGTAAGTAGAGAGTTACCTGGCTCCAGAGACCTCAACTGTTAAGCAGAACTAAGGTCAGAAGGTCAGAGCTAGTGAGACTCTGGGAAGTTCATATTTCACAGTGCCGACATCTCACAGCTGGAGAAACCAAGACCCAGAGAGAGAAAGAGATTTGCAGGCCCCTGGACTTTTAGAACATTAGAATTGCTGGGTGAAAATGGACATATCCAGATTGTATTATGCAAGCCTATCCCTGGGTAGCCAGCTGGGTGCAATGCCAACCCCAGTCCTTTCACTACCTGTTTCTACCTCTTCCATCTCCTTCTGCCATGCCCAAGCCTCCAGCCACCACCCACCTCTGCCCGCCCCTTACCCTGCTGTCTGCTACACCCCTCTGCCAGAGCCCTCCCTCTTTGAAGGGGCTTTCTGATGGAGACGGGGGGTTCCCCACACCTACCTGTTTATCCCAAGGTTTGAGACATCAGCGCTCTGGAAATGTTGAAGTCATGAACGAGAGAGAAAGGAAGCTGGGGAAAATGAGAGTGTAGGCAGTGAGCTTTTTATAGGCCCCTTTGCGGAGCTGGTCTCAGCTCAGTGTTGCTTCAGGAACATGGAAATAAATGTGTTACATGGAATTCGGCTGGCTTGCTGATGGGAGTTGCCTGGGACATTTAGAGAGGTGAAAACTCTGGAAAAAAAAGGAGGAGGAAATTATTTTCATGCCCATAGTTTTTAAGAAAATCAAATGTCTTTAGGGGAAAAAAGAGAGCAGGGGGAGAAAGAAATCCCTTTTCCTTTGGTGGAGAGGAGCCTTAAGGCTGTGTTCCGATCAGCCACGCACACATCCGTGTCCCCTGGCCCTACCCTGGGATGACAGAGCCATCCCTTCATGTTCCAAGGTTGCTCCTGCCTCAAATCCCAGATTTTCCATGACCCATCCTGGACTCAGTCCCACTTACAACCGCTTGGCTCCCTCTTTCAGCCTGGAGGAGCATTCTGGAAGCAAAACTCCTGCTCCGAGCCCAGCTCCCTTCAAATTCATTGTTCTGATTTCCTAGGTGCCTTTTAAACTTTCCTTGTTTTTCTATTTTCACTCTTTTTATTCACCCCTTCACTCCTCTCTTGGACATTAAAAAAAAAAAAAAAAAAAAAAAAAAAAAAACAAAAAGCTGTGTTCCCCACACCAGGATGTTGTACAGATTTTCAATTGAAAAACAAAGTAAGTTTCAAAAAAATTTGTTTTTTTTTTTTTTTTTTATTCTGACTTTTGTTATTTAAGAAAGTCTTATTTTTAGGTCCATTGCCTTGCCTGTTCGGTG